GAACTGGCTACCAGGAAAAAAAAAAGAATAAAGGTCAAAATTAATACCAAAATATAAAAAAAAGAAAAGAGAGGAGAAAACACCACATATATAATTATATCAGCCCCAGCCTGACCTGTTCACATTAATGATGACAAAAAATGAGAAACGGATCAAGGAAAGGACCTGGTGTGGAATGTCACTATTCCCTACAGAAATCTGACAGAAAGGACAGACCACAACAGAGAGGCACAAAATGCCAAACAACCTTCTCAGCTAGAAAAGTGCCTTCTCCTTCACAAGTATCAAGAGATGGCAGTCAAAGGCAACAGGGTTTTAAGATAGAAACTAATGTTACAAAGTAGGATGGGCAACACCGCCTCACAAAATTGTGAAGAGCTGCGGAGCGGAGTGAGATGGCTTGGCAGGAGAGCCATTCACGGAAGAACATGGAAGGACAACAAACAGACAAAAACAGACACAGATCAGCATTTCCAGAACAAACTATTTTCATCATCGACGGCAATGGAACCATTAACATCTAGACTCAACACGGATGTGAGTACACAGTACAATGTGAGGAAATGGCAAAGGCATGGAGGGGGAAATGGATCAGATGAGGTACACATAGAAGAAATCTATATTGGAGGTAAAAACTCTGAAGCAACGAGGCAGCAGTTTTTAAAGATAAATAGAAAAGGTGATGACACTGAATTATTGGATGGTATTACCACCCCCAAAAAGGCAAGAGAGAGGACAGTTACCAATCCACATACCTACTTTCTCATCTTCATGAAACCTTTATGAGAAAGCTCTAAATATATATTGAAAGCATCACTGGTGAAAATGAGATGGGAAAATACAAGTTTTCACAAATGACTTTCTATAGCAGACCAACTCTTTATTGGCACACAATTGCCTGTAAGGTAGCAAGGACACCAGGGTAGGTCCTTGAAGATTAACTGAGATAAAAATAATAATTATAAAAGCACTTAGCACAGTGCCCGGCACAAAGTACCCTATCAATGCTAGCTATTATTACTATTGTTGTCACTGTTACAATGTTAGTTTGTAATTTCCAGCACCTTCCCCCTCTGCTAATTATTTCCTATTTTGATAGCTTGTATATAATTTGTATACACTTGTTCCCACATTGTTTACCCATTAGATTGTGAGCTCCTGAGGGCAGGGCCTATGTTTCTTTGTATCTCCAGAGCTGGACACAATGTTGGACACACAGATGCTAATCGATGCTAGCTAACTGACTGACTTTTCTTTCTTGGGCAGTGTTTCTACAGTTATTTTCAACACAAATAATCAAACTACTACTTTGGGGCTCATACCTGGATGGCTGACACTCTATCAAGGAAGCAGAGACGGCACTTAGGAAGACTGAGGCCAGGAGTGGGGTCCACTCCTATAATCCCTGGTGCTGGAGAGGTGGAGGCTGAGGCTGGTGGGTGGCGGCTGAGGCTGGTGGGTGGCTTGAGCTCAGGAGTTCTGAGTTAGGCTAGTTAGTTAGCTAAGCTAGAGCTGTGGCTGAGTGCTTTATGTTTATTTTCTCATCTGATTTTCACAACTCTAGGAGGTAAATGCTATTATTCCCATTTTACAGATAAGGAAACTGAGGCAGAGTGGTTAAGTGACTTGCCCAAGGTCACACAGCTAGTAGGTGTCTCAGGCTGAATCTGAACCCAGGTCTTGCTGACTCCAGGTCCACAGACAGACTGCCTCTTGTGTTCCGTTCTCTCCTGTGGATCCTTCCGCTTTCCAGAACATTAGCAAAGCCTCCCTCAGTGTCTGAAGGGTAGAGGGAAACAGATCTGAGGAGGGCGGGGAGGGGGAGTAGGAAGGAGGCCATCGGGTTTTAAAGATGTTTGAAGAACAGTAAGTTTCACATAACCAGCTCATAATGATTTTGTCCAACTCATTCATTTTATAGTTGTGTGAAGTGAGGCTCAGTTTACGTGGCCTATTGGGGGCAAAACAGAAAATCTGGGTTTTCCAGTTAGACCAGCAGCTGCCCTGTTCTCCCATGCCCTCCCATGCTCCCCCCTGCTCCCCCACCAGCCTGTTTTCATCTTGCTAGAGAAAGCTTCCCTGTGCCCTGGGTACTCAGGTGTGACAGGTACACATCCCCAAGGGAGTGAACAGCCCCTGGAGCTAATGTATTTTCCCACCCGGGACAAATGACCTGGAAGAATCTTTGACGTGGCTGTTTGCTGTCCCTGGTTTCTGGTGGAAGACTGTGTCCCTGCCAACACAACAGCATCTGGCTGCAGGTCCCGGGGCCGGGTAGCGGCCTGCCGTGCCCCACCCTCCATCCCCACTGTAGCATACCTGGGAGGGCTCCCTCTACCAAGGCAGAGCCGCCACTCGAGAGTTTTAGACTCACTTGGGCGCAGTGAGTTACCTGAGTGTAATAACAGAGTCAATACAGAACAGGTGAGACTTGAACTCACTGGGGGCTCAGTGATTCTGAGGCCACCTCAGGCACTCTTTCACATAGAAGGAGCCAAATCAAGGCAACCTTGTCTACTAGAAAGGGTGCATCTATCCATTCCCCTCCAAACCTCCATCCCAAACCAGGCTATCTCTCTCTGGCCACCACTCCCTATTAAATATGCCATTGGCCCCTAGTAGAATTGTAAGCTTCTTAAACAAACAAAAAAGAATGTAAGCTTACTGGGGGCAGGGATAGTCTTCTCTTTTTAATTTCTATCCCCAGTGCTGAGCAGAGTGGCTGGTACATAGGAAGGGCTTAAGAGTGCTCAGTCACTAATCCTCCCTCCCTCCCTTCCTCTCTCTTTTCTTCCTTGTTTTTTTCTTTCCTCTCTCTTCCTTTCCCCTGCTCCCTCTGTTCCTCCCTTTCCCACTCTCCCTCTCTTCCTCTCCCTCCTTTCCTTGTCTTTTAAACTGGAAAAAGAGTTTCCAAAAAATTCAGGCATCTAGCACAAACACCTAGAGAGTACCACCCTCCCCGCAACACCTTGCTTAATTCTAAGACCTTCTTTTCTTCTTTGTAGTTCTCTGGTCACCATGCTTACCTTCCACTTGAGCCTATAATTAGGAAGGGGGAAAAATCAATTTATTTCCTAATGGAAAACTAGATAATTATTTAGAAGTTTGACTAATAAGGCAGCCCATGTAGTCTGGCCTTCTATGTTAGAGGGAGCAGCTCTAATGTGCATTCTGGGGCCAAAATTTCAGTCTCTGTTTGTGGACACAAGCCCATGCCTGAAGCAGAGAGCTCCAGTGTCTGAAATGGGATCCTGGAGAGCTGTGTTCTAGTTCTGGCTTTTTCAGTATTAGCTGTGTGACCTGACCTTGGTCAAGTCCCCTCTCCCTCGGGATCAGTTCCTTCTACAAAATCAATCAATGAACAAGCATTTATTAAGGGCCTCCTATACGTCAGGTACCAATGAAACCTCAAGGCAGCTAGGTTGTGCAGTGGGTAGTGTTGGGCTTGGAGTGAGGAAGTTCAAATCCAGCCTCAGACACTTATTAGCTGTGTGACCCTGGCAAGTCTCCTCTCATGGTGCGCTAGCCCAGGGCTTCTTAAATTTTTTCCACTCTCAACTCCGTCAGCACATCTTAAAATGTGGGTTTAAGACCACATATGGGGTCACAACCCAGAGTTTGAGAAATGCTGGCAACTCTTTGAGCCTATAGCTCGCAGAAGTCCTCAACTGGGCGTTCTAGATACTATAAAGTCACAGATACAGAGCCGATCCTTATAAATACACAGTCTAAAAGGAGCTGGGTTGGAAAGATGACCTCCACAGTCCCTTCTTGCTTGGATACTCCCAAGCAATATGGGACATCTCACTGTCAAGAGTTAGGGAGAGAAGGGAAGGGATTAGTTCTTATAACACTGGGGCTTCACATGAGCAGGAAATGCATGCCACTACCCTCCCCCTTTGCTATTTCAACGGGATTGGAGTTCCCTCTACTGACGGAATCAGGATGGAGCAACTATTTTTATTAAGCACCTACTATGTGCCAGGCACTGAGCTAAGCAAAGAAAAGCAAACTCAATTCCTGCCCTCAAGGAGTTTATATTCCAGGTCTGTAAATAACTATAATTATTCTAAATACATTATATTTTGTATAGTTATACATTACTCATTAGGTATAGTTATATTACACATATAATTATATATTACATAGATATATAACACACGTGTAATATATGTATTGTCATATATGTAATTATAGATTACACTTGTATTATTAGATAATATATTTTAACTATATATAAACACAGTCTACATATAATCATAAAAATATTTAGAATAATCATAGTGAATATATAATGATTTAAATACACGAATAAATAAATAAATATCCCAAAGATATAAATAGATAATAGAGTGGAGTCCATTTGGCCACTAAGTTAATGGCAAAAGCAGGATTAGAATCCAGGCCTACTGACCCACAGGTCAAGCATCTGTCCACATCACATTGGTGTGGCAGCAATGCTTTTCTCTACGGTCAGACTGGGCGTCTGCCTAGTCCAGGAGTAGGAACATACAAACATGAGGTTCTTCAACCATCCCCGTCCTTAATTCCCGCAATGGCACTGACATTGAACCTTTCATTAGAACAAATGAACTGGTTGCTGTTCCAGTCCTAGAAGCCTACGATTCAAAGAGCAAGATCATCCAGAGGCTGTGTGGATAAAGCCTATCAAAAGAGCCCCCATCCAAGACCAAATGTGAGGTTCCCGCCAGACCAGCTAGAGCTGCCTCCAACACACAGACACACACACACACACCCTCTCTCAGAATGTTTCTAGCAGCCACACCCATTAATATTCAGGTGCATTACTGAGTTTCTCAGTCCCTTTCCTGGGACTGGTGAGTGACTTCAGACACACGTCCCTCATTTCAGGGCCAAGAGTATGGACAAAAGCTGGATGCTGACGACTCATACTGATGAGAGAATGGTCAGGTGGGACTATAGACATCTCCTCTCTCCCTCCCCCACGACGGAAAGGCAGAGACTCTGACTCCACTTACCCAGGAAGCCCTCTTCATCCACGATGATGGTGTAATCCTCTGGCGTCTCGGTCAGGCTAAAGAACTTGCACCTGGCAGAGAAGAGGAGATCTTAGTGACAGGTTAGCCGCGGGGCACAACTGCAGCTCCCTCCCTAGGGTGCCATCCTTCCACTCAGAAGCAAGCACTGAGACATGCAGGATGAGCATAAAGAAACACTGAAGGATGCAAAGAAGCACAATTATATAGAAATCACAACTACCCGCCTTCCTATGCACTTTCAAGTTCACAAATTAACTTATTTCTTACTGTCTCTGACTCTTATTGAATCACAGAACCTTAGAGTTAAAAGAGATTTCAGAGGCCATCTGGCTTGGCTTGTACCTAGGCAAGAATGCCCTTATATTTAACAAGTGTTCATTCATCTTCTGTTTGAATACCTTCTGTGATGGCGATTTCAGCACCTTTTGAAGAAATCCATGCCATTTTTAGACCTTTCTAATTATTAGGAGTTTTTCCTTTGGTTGAGCTAAAACCTGCCTCCCTCTAAATTCTGCTCATTGATCCTGGTTAAAATAAAAACAATAGTAACAAAGGAGAGGCAGTGTGGTATAATGGCTGGAGCATTGGCCTTGGGACTAGGAAGAGATGGGTTTGAGCTATTCTTTGGACACATTCTGGTCCATTTACCCTGGACACTAGACAAGCCTCTAAGACCATCAGATAGTTACAGAGAAGAGAAGGTCCCAGCATGCATTGGTAGGAGCTTCCTCAACCAAGAGCTAGCTCCCGATTCTAATGAAATCATGGAACCAGCTTCTCTAGCAATGGTTTGTGTTAATACTGCCCATAATCACACAGCGAGTAACTGTCTGATTATCTATTGGAGGTTGTGTGGATGAACCCTGCCCAGACAGCCCCCCACTCAAGACCAAATTTCTTCACATGCCAGAAAGCTCGCAGTATCTGAAGGAAACCTAGATCTCCCTGACTGAAGCTCACTACCTGTGTGGTCACAGGTCACTCCCTTTTGCTGAACTTCAGTTTCTCTTTTGAGAAAAATCAGGGGATTGGACCAAAAGGCCTCTAAAATTCCTCCCAACCCTCATTCCCGAATTCAAGGTAACAAACTTAAATTCCTCTGCCTGTAATTGATCAACAAACAAACATTTATTAAGTGCCTACTGTGTGCCAGGCACTGAAGAAGGCCCTCAGTAACTTATATTCTACTATGGCAGTGGTTCTGAACCTGGAATCTGTGAAGGGCTATCTGGATCACTGCATTCCAAGGTAATTGCGTTCCTTTGTAATCCTGGGCATTTTATTTTATGCATTTAAAAACCCAACTCTGAGAAGGAATTAATAGGTTTCAGCACACTGTCTGAGGAGTGATAGGATACAAAAATAGGTTAAGAACCTCTGGGATTCTTAGAGAAATACAGATAAATAAACATACATACATATAATATATATGAAATGATTCTGCAAAAGTCTTTATTTTTAACATTTATTTAAAAAGAGTTTAAGTTCTGAATTTTCTTTCTCCTTTCCGTCCCTCCCCTACCCACTGAGAAGGCAAGAAATGTGAAATCCACTATATATGTGAAATCATGCAAAACGTATTTCCATATTAGCCACAAATACAGGATATATTTTTTAAAAAAGCAACAGAGAGACAGGAGGGGGGAAAGAGACTAGTAAGTGGGGAATCAGTTAAGACATCTTGGAGGACCTGGCATTGGAACCAGGCCTTGAAGGGAGTTAGGCCTAATTTCCTTGGATTGATACTTGGCCAGCCTCCAGCGTGTTAAACATTTGACACAGTTAAAATGCTATCTCTGTTCTAACCCTTAGGCATGTGTGTGCACAGACACACATATTTGCTGCATTCCCCGGCTTAAAAATCCCTAGTTCCTTCAGGTTTTGTGAGATAAATTGGGATTTGGGGCCCTCACCAGATGCTGTCCCTGCCCTGAATGGCCAGAGATGATGCCACCTGAGCACATCATGGAAGAGAAAGCCAAGAAGGGGCTGGCCTCCCATCTCCATCTCCCTCCACCGCAAGAGAAGAAAGCTTGGCGGCTCCCTTTGACCATCCATCTTGGAGAAGGGGGGGCTGGACTGGTGAGAGACCTGCCCAGGCCTATGTTTGGGGCCAATTTTGGCTTCTCTGGGCACTGCCAATACATGCCCACAGAACAAGACCCTGGCAAATTGCTTGGCCCCTTCATAGTCGAAATGTTTTTGGCTTTAAGATTTTTTTTTATATGGCGGTCACTTCCAAATCTATCCCTTCTCTTCGCTCTCCATAGAGAGCTATCCCTTGCAACAAAGAATAAAAAAGAAAAAAAAATCAGAAAAAAATACATCAACTAAGACTGGCAGTATATACCAGGGATTTAAAATCCTTTGGCAGTGTCTGATGAAACTTATGGACCTCTTCCCGACCTCTACAAAGAGAAAGGGAAAGAAGGAGGGAAAAAAGAATGAAGGAAAGAAGGGTGCAAAGAAGGGAAGAAGAATAGAAGGGAAGAAGGAAAAGAGGGATGGGAAGAAAGGAGGAAGGAAGGTAGGGAAGGAGGGAGGAAGGAAGGACAGAATGAATAAAGGGAGAGCAGAAGGAAGGAAGGAAAAAAGGAAGGAAAGAGAGGAAGGAAGGAGGAAGGATAGAGAGGAAAAAGGGAGAAAGGGAGGAAGGAAGGAAGAAAGAAAAGAAAGAGTAAGAGAGGATGTATTAAGTGTTTATTATGTGCCAGGTGCTGTGCTAAATGCTTTACAAATATTATCTCATTTGATTTTCACAACAACCCTGTGAAGTAGGTGTTGTAATTATCTCCATTTTAGAGTTGAGGAAACTGAGGCAGATGGAGGTGAAATGACTTGCCCAGGGTCACAGTTAGTGTCTGAAACTGGATTTGAATTCAGGTCTTTCTGACTCCAGGCCCAGCACTCTCTCTATTGCATCACCAGCTATCAGCAGTATCAAAGGGTATGGATGTTTTAGTGATTTCTTAGCATGATTGCAAAATTTAAATACAGTTCAATTTTAATAAGAAAATTATCAACTCTTCCATGTTATTAATTATGAATATATCAGTAAAATTTAAATTAGAGAATAGGTATTATTATTATACTTAGTCTAGGGGACCCAGACAAACCTTATGCTTGGTTACCCCCAAAGACTTGGGAAGGAAAGGTTCCTCCTTTCACCTTCCCCCCCCCCCCACTCCCCGCCTCCAGGGGCTGCCACTTAAGTTGTTTAAGGATCAAACAGAAAAAAGTAAAAAATAAGCTCTTACTTCCAAGTTCTAAAAGTCTACTATTCAAAGAGCAAGACCATCCATCAGAGGCTGTGTGGATGAAGCCTGTCAAAAGAGTCCCCATCCAAGACCAAATGTGAGGCTCCCGCCAGACCAGCAAGAGCTGCCTCTAACACACTCACCCGCACCCCCACACAGCCTTTCTTAGAATATTTCTAGTAGCCACACCCATTAATACTAGAAAGCAAGAATAATGTAAGTAAAAACAATAATAATAATAATAACTGCCATCAATAAAGCCCGTTAAGCTTTGCACACAGCACTTTTCAACCATTATTTCAATTGAGAAACATGTGAGATGGGTATTATTGTTCCCACTTCACAGAGGAAAAAATTGAGGCTCAAAGACATGAAGGGAATCTCAGTGTTTCACAGATGAGAGGCAGAATTTGAACCCAGGACCCTATTACAACATGACAAGATACCCTTCCCCTTCCTTAGACTCGATGCCAGGCCTGGTACTGTAACCACTGCACCACCTCATAAGCACTTAAAAAACGCCTGCCAACTGCTGATGGACTGACAAATTCGGAAGCTCCTTACATTGATTAAGGACAAAATAAAAGAATCCCACAAAAAAAAAAATCCCAAAAAACCAAAAACCCATTAAAAACTCACTTGTTTAGGGCACAGAAAATGAAAATGTTAGCCCCATTTTAGAGATTAAGAAAACGAAGCTCAGAGAGAGTGAGATGCCCGAAGCTGGCACACAAGATGGCCCGCCATCTTGGCCCTTTTTCACCAAGTGACCAGCGGCAAACCTTTGAGCAGGAGGACTTGGCCTGGTCTCTATCGCCTGTGCTGAGGCCCTCTGGGAGCCTGGACACCGGCACAGCTGGGCCTTGCATTCCAAAGCAGCCCCTTGGATCCTCTCTCTCTTCCCCTTCCCCTCAGGCTAAGCGCCATTGATTTGGAGGACAGGTCAAGGTGGGCCCGCTTGTGCAGGTGTGTGTGTGTGGTATGTGTGTGTGCGCGCACGCAGGGATTGGCCCAAGTAATCAAGGCCATTTATCAGGTCTTGCTTTCTCCCCGTGTACAGCCAAACTCTGACTCCTACCAGAAATACATCCATCGTTGGAAAGCCTTGAGGGAGAAAACCCCAGGGAGCAAGAGAAAAGAAAGATGAAAAATGAACAAAAATTCTGGATGAGCGTATGCCGGCTGGTTGCGGGGATCAGCTCCCTGGGCTCAAAGATGGGCTGTGGGGGGTGCGAACCAAAGTCACTTTTTAATGATACGGCGACCACCGAGATCTACACCAGGAAGGGACCTCAAAGGCCATCGGGTTCAACTCCACCATTTTACAGATGAAGAAACTGAGTCCAGAGGGTGAAGGGACAAGCCCTGGAGCTGGAAGGGACTTCAGGTCATCTAAACCAAACCCTTCATTTTAGAGAAGGAAACTGAGCATGTGAGAGAAGAAATGGGCATGCAGGCAGATCCACGTGCAGTACAGAGTGCCTGGCATTGGGGAGGAACGCAGCTAAAATCTGGCCTCAGACAACAGCTTTGTGACCCTGGGCAAGTCACATAATCCTGTTTACCTCGTTTCTTCATCTGTAAAAAGAACTGAAGAAGGAAAGGACAAACCACTCCAGTATCTCTGCCAAGAAAACCCTAGACAGGTCAAGTCATTCACCCTTAGAAGGAACCTCAGGGACCCCGGGGGCCGACACTTTGTCATTAAGCCCTAGAAAATCCCAGCCCCCAACAATTATAATAAGTATCACTCTCAGTTCCAATAGTTAGTGAGTCATGCCCACACTTAAATC